AAGAAAATAATGAAGGCTGTAAAAATAAGACAAGCAAAAAAAGAAAGTCTTAATTATTATAGTTTAACTTTTTAATCAGCTGTTAATAAATTTTTCAGTACAAACATAATCTAGTAATTTAGCCTAACTATTACAGTATATCGTTTAAATAATTAATAGTAGATAAAGTAATTAAATATTTCTTAGCAGGGTTTTGATGGCTATTATACTTGGGCAGAAAACAATTAAATAAACTTTATATTTTGTACGTTGATTTGACTATATTGACTATATATAACTATATATATATAAATTTTATTGATTTATTTAACCAAGCCTAAGTTCACTTGAAACAAATTTAAGTTCAATTGAACCTAATTTAAGTTCGCTTAAACCTAATTTAGGTTCACTTGAACTACTTTAGGTTTATACAAACCTACATTAGGTTCGTTTAAACCTATATATATTATATTCATTTGAATCTATTTTAGGTTTGTTTGAACCTACTTTAGGCTTGTTTAAACCAACTTTAGGTTTGTTTGAGGTTCGTTTAAACCTACTTTAGGTTTGTCTGACTCTGCTTAAGGTTCTTTGAACTTAATTTAGGTTAACTTGAACTTAATTTAGGTTCACTTGAACCTAATTTAAGTTCATTTGAACCTCGTTTAATTTTAATAGATGTTTAATTTTTCTCCCTCCCCCCACAAATATTAAAAAAAATAACGTTAAACGAAGGTTTAATTTCAATCGGCACAACAATGATCAACACGAGAATTTAAAATTGCTTATAGCTTTGAGCGAAGATATCTCGGCAACCAGCCAACCAAATTTGATGAACCTTTTTTTTATTTTAATTCTATAGGACTGTAGAATTATAATAAAAAAAAGTTCATTGAATTTGATTGGCTAGTTACATAGATATCTTTGTTCAAAGCCTTGGAAAATTCAAGACGCCTATTAAGTAGAAAAAGTAAACTTTGAACAAAGATAACTCGACAACCACTAACCAAATTCGATGACCATTTTTTTTTTGTTTTAAAATACTGTAGATTGAAATAAAAAGATTTTATCGAATCGGTTGTTTGGTTGTCAAGTTACCTTCACTCAAAGTTTTAAATTTAATAGGCGTTTTTAATTTATGTAAAGCTTTTGAAAATTTTCTATTTCGATTGTAACTAAAATAAATAATGTTCTTTGAATTTGGTTGAGTGGTTGCTGAGTTATCTTCGTTCAGATTTTAAACCGTCTATCGATAATGACTGCGGCAAAATTTTTATAAAGATTTGAGTGAAGATAACGTGACAACCAACTAATTAAACTCGATGAATTTTTTTTATTTGTATTTTACAATAATGTAGAACCAAAATAAAAAAGACATTAAATGTGGCTAGGTAATTTCCGAGTTATCTTCGCTCAAATTTTACAAAAATTTTCTGCATTATAGTCGCTTTGAATTTTCAAGATTTCGAATAAAGATATCTCGGCAGCTAGCAAACCAAATTTGATGGACTTTTTTAATTATTCTATTGCTCTGAAGAATCAAAATATAAGAAAGGCTCGTCGAATTTTGTTAGCTGGTTGCCGAGATATCTTTGTCAAAGTTATAAATTCACATCTAAAATTTGGGTGCTCATTGTTGTGCCGATAAGAAGATAAGACACGTGTTTTGTTGTGCGGTAGCAACGGCCTGTCTAAATGCACACAATCATATTAACCAATGATATTATAATTGACCAATAATAACTAATTTATATAATCTTAGATCTTTGTTGCTTCAGATACTATAGTTGTATATTATTTGTTCTAAATAATAGCTCTAGCAAATAGTCGTATGCAGTGTTGGGCTGGACATTAGACATGGACATTGGACCACACTTGTCCAGTCCAGTCCAATCCATTGGATCAAACAATAATATAATTAACATATAATCATTATTGGACATATTGGACTGGACATCCAGTCCAGCCCAATATCATAAAAACAGTTGAACATATGGGGTCTTTGTCTTGAAAATGACCTTACGGTATCGTGTACCGTAAGGTCATTTTCAAGGTAAAGACCCCATATGTCCAGTGCCAACACTGGTCGTATATGTTAGGTACATTCTATTGGATTAAATACTTATTATTTAATTTATGTTTACTGTATTTTGGCAGACTTGAATAAAAGTGTTTATTAATCATCATAACGCACAATAAAATTAATTAAATAAACATGTATTATGTACTTTTATCCTTGATTTATCTATAATAAAAACCTTAAAGAGAATATATTATGGTTGTTTAAATTTTAACAGAAACACTGTCTCCTACATTGACAACCAACTCCAGATCCTCTACATTCGCAATAAAACGAGTGTTGTTGAAAATCATATATTGGCCGTGTGTTAACACCCGGAGCAGATGAAATGCTTGATTTGTCACTATCTATTTCGTCCTCACCAATTTTCAAATCTTGCTGCATAATCTCTATTAGAGTATCGAGCATGCTTTGTGGATGTATCACTGAAGCAGCGGTATTCGTCGAGCAAGTTCGAGTTGAATCGTTTTGCTTATCCCATATTTTTTGGAAAAAAGCCTTTTTTCTATATATTTTTTTATGTAGAGCATGAAATTGACAAGATGATAAAGGTTCATATTCTTGGTATGATATTGGAATTGTAGTATTACACATTATGTTATGGTCTAAGTCATGAATGTCATTAGAATATTTTTGAGAATATTGGCAGGTGCATTTTAATGAGGTCATTCTTTGAGTCGTTTTAATGATTTGAAATTTTAATGAGTTTATCGATTAAAAAGTTAAACTATAATAATTAAGACTTTCTTTTTTTGCTTGTCTTATTTTTACAGCCTTCATTATTTTCTT